TTTAACTGTGATAGCTTTTTGTCTAGGATGTAAAACTCGCCCATCAGTTTGAGGACTTGGTAAAGGCTGATCAGAGATTTGAAATCTTTGGTGACGTAGTGCTGGGATTAGTTTGCTTCAGATTGAAAGTAAGTACAGGTCATCTAGAGTGGGGGAAACTTTTTTTTATTTGGTAAATATTAAATAAGTATTTGAGTAATAAGAAGTGGGCACGCATCATATTAAGTATTTTAACCCCTTGCTTTCAAAATTCTTTATCATATATAAATAATAATAATAAAGGCTTGTGTACATTTTAGGATGCAAACGAAGTTAATGAGAGGTTACTGAAGGCCATCAACACAGACAAACGTATACACCTAGTGCCATCAAAAGTCAATGGCACATTTTTCTTAAGGTTCGCTGTGTGTGCCTCACGGACAGAATCAAGGGATGTGGAATTCGCTTGGAAAGTGATACAAGAACTAACGGGGAAAATCATTAGCGGTCAAACATAAAGGATTTAGCTCCAGTTGTGTATTCTATGAAGCATTGATGGATCAACTGGAATTACTTTGAGAATTAAATGTTTGGGTTGAACAATACGAGGTGTATAGTTTTGGTGAGGCAACAGCAATTTATAATGTATTGTTGTTATATTCAATAAATGTCTGTAATGGTTGTTAAGCAGAATGAAATTTTTGACTAGGAAAATTAAATAAGTTTAATAAATAAATATTACCAGGAACCTTGTACATAGGTGCCTGATAAGACATAATAATACTAAATAAGTCATTGTCACATTAATAACCAAAGTTTATGTCAATAAAAACGATTTACTCATTGATTAATGCATTTTGTCAAATATACATACAGCACGAAGTTAAAATATCCAACCTGGAGCGTGCAGCACTATGGCGTGTTTTATCCATGTAAGTACGCAATTCCAGGAATCTTTGTATGCATCATAAAGTCAAATTCCTGTACACTTAACGCAATTGGCGAATTCTTATCAAAAGCCAATCCTCCACTCAGGTACAAACAAAAAGTTATTGTGGCATGACAATAACCATATTTTAGGCTACCCTTTGTAACCTATAAATACATGTACGTACCTATCAGTGGATTGATGGTAATATTCTACAATATCAAAGGTTATCATATTTCCATGCTGTCGACAAAGATGTTATTTTACAATCCAGGAAATGATTTTTCGACGAAGACTTCTTTGTCATTTCGAAAATTTAGCAGAAAGTATCCGTTAATTCTATTAAAAATGTCCGTTTCAGCGAAAAGGGTCCCTTATACCTACCGTAAATCTGGAAATTTTTACGTCGATTTTATTTTGCGAATTCGGGTCAAAATGCTGTTGATTAATTTTTACGTTTCAAAATTTTGCGAATGACCACTGCCTTGCTTACATTTTCTCTCTTATAGGCAATTTATTTTTAAGAAAAATATTTTTGCGAATTCAATGAACTCGCAAATTTGCTAAAAATTTATCTACAGCAAAAATTTCCAGATTTACGGTATACACCGTGAGAAAACCAGTAGAGCTAGATAATAGTTTTAAGCAAAACTGCTGTAAAATCACATACATGTATTTTCGTGGGGTCAAATTTTCGTGGTTTGAGTAAAAACTATCGGTTCGTGGGGATTTGAATTCGTATAGGAAGAATTGCTGAGTAGTTATGTTTGTAACATTTTACATGTCGTGGTGGACATGAACACGTGGGTCTCTTCATACATCGAAAACAACGAAAAATTAACCCCCACGAAAATTTGTGATTTCACAATAAACGTATTGTAAGCATCCTTACATCGTTTACTATGATAACTTGTAGCCATAGATGAAACAAAATACCGCAGAAGTACATTTTTCCGCGTGGTATTAATTTACGCTATGTTCGCGGTCACAAATTTTCCGCGGAAATTTGTCCAAGTGTACTTGATGTAAATGTAAGTCATATAGTGACAATTTAAGAAATCCGCGTAATTTTCTACCCGCGGATTAAAAAAAATTGAGATTCCGCGGAATTATGAAACCGTGGAAAAAAAGTACGTCTTCAGTACTCACATTGATATTGGTGGTACTGTTGTTTGAATTTTCGTGTGCAGTAAGATATACCTCGAATCTGGAATCTTGTCTATTAACGAAAAGATTTGCGCTGAGAAATTTCTTCAAAGGAATCTGTCTGAAATACATCGGTCAGTGGTTGTTATGCAATCATTCACCGAACCTTTCCTCTCTGCACCACCACATAACAAGATAATTTTGTGGGAGAGTTTTCTAACTTTCTGAGGCATCTTTTCCTTATACCCGGAATTTGGAACTGCATCGAGATTTTTAATAAATCCAGAATAGTTGAAGATGTAATTTCAAATTGCCCGGTGTGAACAAATTTAGGTAGGGTTTCAAAGACTGCATTGACAATCTTTGGAGACAAATCTCTGCCATTTGTTTTGATCTCATGTGACTATTTTCAATAAATATGCCTCCAAAATACGGACTGACTTAACACGCAACTCGATGAGCGTAGATAACTTGATCATGATGATATCCACAAAGAATTGAACCGAAAATTTACCCGAAGTACGCTCATCACTGACTCTAGATTATTTACGGGCAGATGATGTACCTGGAGTACGCCCATCACTGACTGGAGATGATTAACAGGTAGGTGATATACCTTGAGTACGCCCATCACTGACTGGAAATGATTTACGGGCAGATGATGCACCTAAGTACGCCGGGCCCATCACTGACTCTAGATTATTTACGGGCAGACGATGTACCTGGAGTACGCCCATCACTGACTGGAGTTGGTTTACAGGCAGATGATGTACCTGGAGTACGTCCATCACTGACTGGAAATGATTTACGGGCAGATGATGTTCCTGGAGTACACCCATCACTGACTGGAGGTCATTTACGGGCAGTCGATGTACCCGGAGCACACCCATCATTAACTGGAAATGATTTAAGGGCAGATGATGTATGCCCATCACTGACTGAAGATTATTTACGGGCAGACGATGTACTTTGAGTACGCCCATCACTGAATGGAGATGATTTACAGGCAGATGATATACCTGGGGTACACCAATCAGTGACTGGAGTTGATTTTCAGGCAGAAAATGTACATAGAGTACGCAAATTACTGACTGGAGATTATCTACGGGCAGATGATGTACCTAGAGTTCGCCCATCACTGACTAAATATTATTTACGGGCAGATGATGCACCTGAAGTACGCCTATCACTGACTGGAGACTGGAGTTGATATACGGGCAGATGATGTACCTGAAGTACGCCTATCACAGAGTGGAGATAACTTACAGGCAGATGATGTTCCTGAAGTACGCCCATTTATGACTGGAGTTGGTATACAGGCAGATGATTAACCTTGAATACGCCAATCACTGACTGGAGATTATTTGCAGGCAGATGATGAACCTGGAGTACGCCCTTCAATGACTGGAGATAATTAACGCGCAGATGATGTACCTGGAGTAAGCTCGTCTATGACTGGGGTTGATTTACGAGCAGATGATGTACCTGAAGTACGCCAACCACTGACTGGAAATTATCTACGGGCAGATGATGTACCTGGAGTATGCCCATCACTGAGTGAAGATGATTTACGCGCAGATGATGTACCTGGAGTAAGCTCGTCTATGACTGGGGTTGATTTACGAGCAGATGATGTAGATGAAGTATGCCAATCACTGATTGGAGATTATCTACGGGCAGATGATGTACCTGGGGTATGCCCATCACTGATTGAAGATGATTTACGGGCAGATGATGTACCTGGAGGAGTACGCCCATCACAGACTGGAGTTGATTTAGGTGCAGATGATGTACCTGGAGGACGCCCATCACTGACTGAAGTTGGTTTACAGGCAGATGATGTACCTGGAGTATGTCAAACACTGACTGGAAATGATTTACGGGCAGAAAATGTATCTGGAGTACGCCCATCACTGACTGGGGTTGATTTACGTGCAGATGATGTACCTGGAATACGCCCATCACTGACTGGAGATGATTTACGAGCAGATGATCTTGAATATGCAAATCACTGAATGGAGATTATTTTCGGGCAGATGATGCACCTGAAGTACGCCCATCACATACTGTAGATGAATTACGGGCAGATGACGTACCTGGAGTACGCTCATCACTGATTGGAGTTGATTTACGTGCAGATGATGTACCTGGAGTACGTCCATCACTGACTGGATATGGTTTATGGGCAGATGATGTACCTTGAGTACGCCCATCACTGACTGGAGACTGGAGTTGATATACGGGCAGATGATGAACCTGGAGTACGCCTATCACTGAGTGGAGATAGCTTACGGGCAGATGATGTTCCTGAAGTACGCCCATTTATTACTGGAGTTGGTATACAGGCAGATGATTAACTTTGAATACGCCAATCTCTGACAGAAGATTATTTGCAGGCAGATGATGTACCTTGAGTACGCCCTTCAATGACTGGAAATAATTAACGGGCAAATGATGTTACTGGAGTATGCCCATCTATTACTGGGGTTGATTTACGAGCAGATGATGTACCTGAAGTACGCCAACCACTGACTGGAGATTATCTAGGGGCAGATGATGTACCTGGATTATGCCCATCACTGAGTAAAGATGATTTACGTGCAGATGATGTACCAGGAGTACGCCCATCTATGACTGGAGTTGATTTACGAGCAGATTATGTACCTTGAATATGCAAATCACTGACTGGAGATTATTTACAGGCAGATGATGCACATGAATTGCGCCCATCACATAGTCTAGATGATTTACGGGCAGATGATGTACCTGGAGGAGTACGCCCATCACTGACTGGAGTTGATTTACGTGCAGATGATGTACCTGGAGTATGCCCATCACTGACTGAAGTTGGTTTACAGGCAGATGATGTACCTGGAGTACATCAAACACTGACTGGAAATGATTTACGGGCAAACGATGTATCTGGAGTACGCCCATCACTGACTGGAGATAATTTACGGGCAGATGATGTATCTGGAGTATGCCCAAAACTGACTGGAGTTGACTTACGGGCAGTCGATGTACCCGAATTACCGGTGTGCCAATCACTGAGTGGAGATTATTTACGAGCAGATAATGCACCCGAAGTACGCCCATCACTGACTCTATAGGATTTACAGCAAATGATGTTCCTGGAGTAAGCCCATCAGTGACTGGACTTAATTAACGGGTAGATGATGTTGGAGTACTAGTACCTGTGGTACGCCAATCACTGACTAAAGATGATCTATGGGAAGATGATATACCTGGAGTACGCCCATCACTGACTAGAGTTGATTTTCGGGCAGATGATGTACCTGGAGTACGCCCATCACTGACTGGATATTATTTACGCACAGATTATGTACATGGAGTACACCCATCACTGACTGCAGATTATCTATGAGCAGATGATACACCCGAAGTATGCCCATCAGTGACCCTAGATGATTTACGGGCAGATTATGCACCTGAAGTACGCCCATCAATGACTGGAGATAATTAACAAGCAGATGATGTACCTGGAGTACGCCCATCACTGACTGGAATTTATCTACGGGCAGATGATGTACCTGGAGTACGCCCATTTATGACTGGAATCAATATACAGGCAGATGATGCACCTGAAGTACGTCCATCACTGAGTGGAGATGATTTACGCACAGATGATGTACTTGGAGTACGCCCATCTATGACTGGAATTGATTTACGAGTAGATGATGTACTTGGAATACGCCCATCACTGACTGGAGTTGGTTTACTAGCAGATGATGATCATATCACTGACTGGATATGATTTACGGGCAGATGATGTACCTTGAGTACGCCCATCACTGACTGGAGACTGGAGTTGATAGACGGGCAGATGATGAACCTGGAGTACGCCTATCACTGAGTGGAGATAACTTACAGGCAGATGCTGTTCCTGAAGTACGCCCATTTATTACTGGAGTTGGTATACAGGCAGATGATTAACCTTGAATACGCCAATCTCTGACAGAAGATTATTTGCAGGCAGATGATGTACCTGGAGTGCGCCCATCAATGACTGGAGATAATTAACGGACAAATGATGTTACTGGAATATGCCCGTCTATTACTGGGGTTGATTTACGAGCAGATGATGTACCTGAAGTACGCCAATCACTGATTGGAGATTATCTACGGGCAGATGATGTACCTGGATTATGCCCATCACTGAGTAAAGATGATTTACGCGCAGATGATGTACCAGGAGTACGCCCATCCATGACTGGAGTTGATTTACAGGCAGATGATGTACCTTGAATACGCAAATCACATAGTCTAAATGATTTACGGGCAAATGATGTACCATCACTGACTGGAGTTGATTTACGTTCAGATGATGTACCTGGAGTATGCCCATCACTGACGGAAGTTGGTTTACTGGCAGATGATGTACCTGGAGTACATCAAACACTGACTGAAAATGATTTACGGGCAAACGATGTATCTGGAGTACGCCCATCACTGACTGGAGATAATTTACGGGCAGTCGATGTACCCGAATTGCCGGTGTGTCAATCACTGATTGGAGATTATTTACGAGCAGATGATCTACCCGAAGTACACCCATCACTGACTCTATAGGATTTATGGGCAAATGATGTTCCTGGAGTAAGCCCATCAGTGACTGGACTTAATTAATGGGCAGATGATGTTGGAGTACCTGTAGTATGCCAATCACTGACTAGAGATGATCTATGGGAAGATGATGTACCTGGCGTACGCCCATCACTGACTAGAGTTGATTTTCGGGCAGATGATGTACCTGGAGTACACCCATCACTGACTGCAGATTATCTATGAGCAGATGATGCACCCGAAGTATGCCCATCACTGACCCTAGATGATTTAGGGGCAGATGATGCACCTGAAGTACGCCCATCAATGACTGGAGATAATTAACAAGCAGATGATGTACCTGGAGTACGCCCATCACTGACTGGAAATTATCTACGGGCAGATGATGTACCTGGAGTACGTCCATTTATGACTGGAATCGATATACAGGCAGATGATGCACCTGAAGTACGCCCATCACTGAGTGGAGATGGTTTACGCACAGATGATGTACTTGGAGTACGCCCATCTATGACTGGAATTGATTTACGAGTAGATGATGAACTTGGAGTACGCCCATATATGACTGGAGTTGATATACAGGCAGATGATATACCTTGAATACGTAAATCACTGACTGGAGATTATTTACAGGAAGATGATGCACCTGAAGTACGCCCATGACTAACTCCGGATGATTTACGGGCAGATGATGTAGCTGGAGTACGCCTATCACTGACTGGGGTTGATTTACGTGCATATGATATACCTGGAGTACACCCATTTATGACTGGAGTTGATATACAGGCAGATGATGTACCTGAAGTACGCCAATCACAGACTGGAGATAATTTACGTTTAGATGATTCACCCAAAGTACGCCCATCACTGACCCTTGATGATTTACGGGCAGATAATGTACCTGGAGTACACCAATCACTGCTTGGAGATTATGTACGGGCAGATGATGTACCTGGAGTACGCCCACACTGAGTGGAGATAACGGGCAGATGATACACCTGGAGTCCACCCATCACTTATTAGAGATTATCTACGGGCAGACGATATACCCTGAATACGCCAATCACTGACTGAAGATTATTTACTGGTAGATGATGCACCTAAATTACGCCCAACAATGACTCAAGATGATTTACGGGCAGATGATGTACCTGGAATACGCCCATCACTGACTCTAGATTATTTACGGGCAGATGATGTAACTAGAGTATGCCCATCACTGACTCTAGATTATTTACGGGCAAATGATGTACCTGAAGTTTACCTATCACCGACTACAGATGATGTATGGGCAAATAATGTACCTGAATCACGCCAATCACTGATTATAGATTATTTACGGGCAGATAATTTAACTAGAACGCCCATCACTGATTTAGATTATTTACAGGCAAATGATGTACACTGTACCCAAAGTACACCCATCACCGACTCAAGATTATTTACGGGCAAATGATATGCCTGGAGTACACCCATCACTTACTGTAGATTATTTACGGGCAGATGATATACCTGAAGTACATCCATCACTGACTGTCCAGAGATCTGATGATTTACGGGCAGATCATTGATGTACTTGGAGTATGCCCATCCTGACTGTAGATTATTTACGGGCAGATGATGTAACTGGAATACGCCCTTCACTAACTGGAGATGATTTACGGGCAAATGATGTTCCCTAAGTATGCCCATCACCGACTGTAGATTATTTACTGGCAAATGATGTACCTGGAGTATACCCATCACTGACTGTAGAATATTTACGGGCAGATCATTGATGTTCCTGTAGTATTCCCATCACTGACTGTAGATTATTTACGGGCAGATGATGTAACTGGAGTATGCCCATCACTAACTGGAGATGATTTACGGGCAGGCGATGTAATTGGAGTACTAGTACGCCCATCACTGACTCTAGATTATTTACGGGCAAATGATGTACCTGAAGTACACCCATCACTGACTGTAGATTATTTACGGGCAGATCATTGATGTTTCTGAAATACGTCCATAATGCACTGACTGTAGATTATTAACGGGCAAATGATGTACCTGAAGTACTCCAATCACTGACTGTAGATTAGTAATGGGCAGATGATGTAACTGGAGTACGTCCGTCACTGATTATCCAAAGATAATTTACGGGCAAATGTTGTACCTAGAGTACGCCCATCACTGACACTAGATGATTTATGGGCAGATGATGTACCTAGAGTATCACTGACTATACATTATACATGGGCAGCGGAGGTGAATTATCGGGTATATTAAAGACGTGATATTTTTTCTCATTCAAAAGTTAGCTTCAAGGTTAAAGTTTTTGTGCTTTGAAGTGAAAGTTGGGGGTCCTTCGGATGTGGACTTACAACCGAGACCCCGTGTCACTACAGGCGTTGGCTTTTACTCCAAAACTTTTTATCATTAAACTGTTGCTTACATTATCAAATTTGTAAAACTTCTCTTGATTATTGGATAAAAAATACATGATATACATGTATATGTAATTTGTCTCCTTTATAGCATACAGCACACTGTGTATCAGGTTTTGATACTTAAACACGAAAAAGTATCATTTAAAAGCTAAACCCATGTTAGTCATGCATAAATAAGTGAAAGTCTTAAAATGCATTTTATCCACTAAATATATTTCGGATAACAGTTTCTATCAGCGCCTGTCTTACTTTAGTAACAACAGCATTGTGTGGTTGCCCTTGCAAGAAGAACATTGAATATTAGAACATTTGTATGAAGTCCGCTCAAAACAGCAGCAACGCGTGTGGAATCCACCTTACCGAATACGATACATGTACAAAGAAGAAGCTTGTGGATCTGGACTGTAAACTTGAATCCCTTGATCATTATCTCAACAGAACAAGTAAATATGTTTGAATTTTTCATTGATCCTTGCTGAAATCAATTTGTTTTCTTCTGAACTTGAAATGATTATTCAATTATAATTTCAGCTCATCACGTCTCATTTATGGCTGCTCTTGCAAGAAATATAAAACCCGTCGTCGGGACTCTTATTTTTGGCAACGTTTTCACCAATAAGGGAGGAGCTTATAATGGCAGGACTGGTATCTATCCGGATCATACTTCTTTATGGTCACTGTTGGACTTCTAGCTCCTTCCATCTCCATTGGCAGGGACTACTTAAGGATATACATTATGAAAAACGGCAAAATGTCCACTTACCTATTCATCGGACCTGAAGGTTTATGGATCAAAAGATCTGAAAATATCTTAATGGAACTTTCAAAAGGAGACAAAGTAAATCTTTTCATAAATACCCCAGGAGTTGGGGTTTCCCTACATTTCTGGAAACAATGGCTATCCTGGTCCAACTTATCACTCACACTTCCCTGGATTTCTCATAAATTGAAGTGTGCTGTAACTAACTGAAACAATTGATGATAAAGTTGTTAACAAGGAAAATAAATTCGATTACCAGTAATCATGCGTATTAAACATTGGTTTGTTGTATAATGTAGAGTACAGGAAAATTTGAATTGAAATTAAATATTTTACATTACTAACCAAAGAAATTTAATTTCAACTTTGAATACTAGTATAATTTTAAACGAAATTTTACTGTCTCTAAAAATTTCAATAAAGATGAATACGCATAAGAAGTTCACATTTTCTTCTGTCAAATAACAAGGAAATATGATAAAACTTAACAGAATACTCATATCAAATACACCCAAGAAAAAAAATTCTATTTTCCATGATTCACTTTTGATGGTAATTTGATGCCTATTAATTTCCAGTATTTCCAGTTGTGGTTTATGTTTGTATTTGTTATTTGCTTCTGAAATACTTCTGCCCCTGTCACTTTCATAAACAATGTAATGTCCATTTCATGTAGAATCAAATTTATTTTTTACCCATGGTTGACAGATGTTTAATACATCAATAAATTATAAATTGGGAGTTATTATTTTCTTTCAAATTTTATTTGACAAAAGTGTGTACATGCACATTTTCCCTTTTGTCATACTTCAAAGTTTAAACTTAAGATCTTCAATTCAATTAAAATTGCATTGGGAATGAAAAACAATCTTATTTTACAGGTGTAATATTTACTTTATGTTATATACATGAAGATGTTTTCTCAATCTCTTACACATCAGTTTACAACAGCCACTAGATCTATTCCATATTCCCATATAATTCTGCTACTATTTTTTGGTTAAGAAAATTCTGGATCATAAGTAGGCACACCATTGATGTCACTGAGGTTGATATAAATAATACAGCTGTGTCGTCTGACCTTGACCCCAGCACACCATAGGTCAGCCAGTTCATCCGTGACTGAGTCCAAGGCTGAATAAGCACTGTAGTGACCTTTAGTGTTGGGACAGTATATGCCTCCTGTAAAATTATTTATCTGTATACTTATTTCAATAAAACATTATTACAGCAAGCATTTTTAATGTTTACAACAAATTGTTATTCATACAGCAGATTTAAAATGTATTAAAAGAACATTTGGATATAACAGATTACATGTACAAGGAATCAAATTGTTTGTTTGTAATTGTCTTATTAAGCGTGCTTTAATAAAATAATTTTTTTCTGTGGAAAATGCAAAAAAAGAATATTAAAAAACAGAAATGTTCCTTTAGAATAATCAAGTATGCTTTGCCAGCAGATGCCATTGTTTTTTGTTTTTAAAGAAATTGACTCTGCTTATGCCATTATTGTTGCCTGATGCTTGAATACTTACGGGCGTGGTCAAAGCGATGGATTTGATTCTCTGGGAGTCTTGGCCTCTCTTTTAGAATCCTCATCAAGGTCATGTCTGTCACAATCTCATGACGAGTTAGATTACCATTTCTCTCTGAAATAGAAATCCAAAACACATAGTGTAACAATCCAAATCAAATAATTTTTTTTTTTAGTGTAACATGTATATAATGTAGTAAAAAACAAATAATGTTCTACCCAGTTCTTACTAAATGAATGTAGTGAAAGGTATATGCAATGACTGTCACTGACCATACATCCTGAAAATGTCTCTACCCCAGGGATATCTTGGTTTCCAATCTTTTCTGCTCCATTCTGGAAAACTGTACACATCAATCAGCTCACTACAAAGAATTTAAAAAACGAGACATCAGAAGCAGCCTTTCGTTTAGCTTTCCAGTCTTTATTTACCCCCATTTAAAATATACCTTGTTTACATAATATATGAACAGCACCTGTTTCATTTTTAATTACTTTACAGTAATTTCTTACCTGGCCAATGGTGTAAGAATTTCTCCCCAGGTGTAAACTCTCATGTGATTGTAGGAGCTATTACAAGCCTGGTCATTGTAATCGTAGATGATACAAATATCAGACGGGATATCAGGACTGGAAAACAGCAGATGCTCCAGGTTTGCCTTGTCAATCTACAATCATTCAAACAGAAATTGATACACTTTAAAACAAAAAATTGTGATGGTAATTAATGTTTACTGGTATAAGTTCCTGTTGTATGCATCATTTCAGGTTATGTCTATGGTTCATCATTTTTTGCAAGATTTTATTTCAATTTACTCAAAACACTAAACAACAACAACAAATTCTGAATGATCTCTCACTGGTATTGTCAATCAGAGTACATGTATATAGAAGATATATATATCTGCACAAATATAGAATCTGTTAGCTGCTTGAAGAAATCAGCTTTCAGACAAAATGCAATTCTCATGAATCATGTGAATAAATGAATGGTTTGAAAACATAAATCAATGAATTGCTTCAGGAATAATATTTCAGATTTATATTAAAAAATTTTCTATTAAAATAAATGTTGATACCATGTGCATTGGCCTTAGAAATATTGCCTTGTTATATCTGTGGGCCTGGCCATCTGGCAGAGTTTCCTCCTGGAGGGCCACCTCATATGCCAGGTTCTCTTCTGAGATTTTGGGACAATGGGTGAATTCCACTCTTCGGATTTTTGGTACTGCATTAAGTTTTACCTCTTTTAAAACCCGACATGCATGACCTAAAACAATATGACAGTAAACCCTTCATGGTTGCAATGTATATGCTTTTAATGAATTCAAACCACAACAGTGATTTTCATTCCCCATTGTTTTAAATGTATAAGCAACCTAACATACATTAAACACATTTTATTATGTTTGTATAACATATCAAAATTGTTCATCCATGGCTATTTGTGATGAGCATCTTTTTCTGTACATATAGCATTTTATACAGACAATTGTAGCTTTAGTGAAATAAATTTCTGAAAAAAGGAGTAACAGTTTACAAACTAATCTACATGCAACAATTAGTAAGGATTCTTACCTGAGAGTTTGGTCAGTTGAGGACAATCATCAACAACCAGACAGGTAATTCCCACATTGTTAAGAGACAGAGATATCAGAGAATTGGACTTGAGTTTTAGGATCTACAATCAAAAGTTGTTTGTTACAAAACATACATTGTACTTTCATAATGAAGTACATAAAATTACAAAAGAGACCCATGGCCATAATCCACTAATGATGTCACACCCTACCACTCAGGTCATGACTAAAAAAAATATTGAATATACATGTACATAATAAACTTAAATTTGCCCTTTGCCTAAATATGCTTTGTGGCAATTTTAGTAGCGTTCAGCCCATTGTTTCCAGAGAAGAAGAAAATTTGAAAAGTTTTTAGATGACAGTCAGACAGATGGATGCTAGACAATCTTTGTTCAGAAAAGCACACTTGAGCCTTTGGCTCTGAGAAGTTAAAACTTTAATTAAGTACTGGTAGTTTTACCTGAACATGATCCTCTTCTACCACAGGATCAGCAGTACTTGTGCACTCATCTTTCATGTTGGACTTTGGACCTCCATACTGCCCCAGTTTTGATTGTCTTCCTCTTCTTTTCTTTCCTGAAACAAGCTCCAAACTCAGACACTAAGGTTATAACAGTAAGCTCTAATTCAGGGACAAGATATATGAGCAAGCTCCTTTAAAAATACACTCAAAATTATGACAGCAAGTTCTTCATTGTAAGACAAGTTTTTGGATTTAATACTATCCACAGGGAGAAACGTTTTTGGTATTTGTTTGCTTTCTGGGATTATTTTTGCATAATTAAGTCCATGTACTTTCCTACTAATTTCTTATAATCATGATAATGTTATCAAGATACCTTTTCTTGTTGGGGAGTCCTCAGCTTGGGACAAAGTTTGTCTGATTTCCTCTGGTTTAGCTTCACAGGATTTATCTACCTTTTCCACTTCCTTTTCTTCTTTTACTTCTTTTTTTACATCACACTCCAGTTTTTCGTCATTTCCTAAAGGACACTGTGTACCATTTTCTATTGCTTGCTCATTATTTTCCGTTCTATGATCACGTCCTTTGTCTCTCTGTTCATCACTGTGACAATCACATTTACAAACAGATTTCCTCTTCCCTTTACTTTTTCTGTGTCTTGATTTCCTTCCTTTAGAATACTTTTTATCATTTTCAATTCTATTGCATAAACATTTTGGGCATTGTGAATTGTCCATCTGCATTGCTTTATCATTAGATTCAGTACCATCGTTATTTAATTCAGATCTCTCTGATGATTCTTCTGGGACATTTTGGTTTGCTTCAAGTTTCCTTCGTTTAACAGGTGCCTTGAGTGGATTTTCACCATTTTGTCTTTGGTCATTTGAAGTTCTATCAGATTTTCCCGAATTATGTCTTTGATGCTTAACACAACTTCTGGTTGGTCTCATTCTGGGTGTAGATGAAAATGGAGCCTTCTGGATCTCTTCACTTTTCATGCTCATGCTACAGGTAGCATTTTCAGGTAAATTTTGAGAACTAGTTGTGGCCTTGTCATTATTGATATCTTCTCTTTTACACTCTTCAGACTCTGTATTACTGACATTAGATCTTTGCTCATTTTCCTTCACTACACTGCATCTCTCATTTTGCATAGAATCTGAGCTCTGTCCCATATTCTCATTAACTGTTTCACTCTCATCACCCAAATCCTGCGCCATATTGTCATTTTCCTCTTGAGAATTGTCTTCTACTTCTCTCTCTTTATTTTCTGGTATTTTTTCCTCTGAATCTTCAGCTTCATGCATCACAGCATCTTCACCAGTTTCATTCCTTCTATCTTCATCCTGTGCCCTTTCATTATTCTGGTTGCCTGGAGCATCATTCACATGATCATTAATCTGATTGGCTGGACAATCATTCATGACATTGTTTTGATTGGCTGGAGCATCATTCATGTTATTGATCTGATTGGCTGCAGCATCATTCATTTCATTGTACTGGTTGGCTGGAGCATCATTCAGATCATCATTTTGATTGGCTGCAGCATTGTTTCCTTCATCATTGTTTTGATTTGCTGGAGCATTACCTCCCCCATTTTGATTGGCTCCACCATCCTGTACATTGTTGTTATTGACTACTGGATTTGCTGGAGGGGGATTTTGATAATGCTGATTTAACATGGCAGAGGAAAGCCCCATACCTGTTCCAGCACTTAAGCCAACCCTATAAATATCAGTTGATTACTTTATTACTATAGATATACAAGAGCTTGCATATACAAAGAACATCTACCAGTTTTCTGTAAAATCAATTTTATAATGTACTTTTTTATATCCCTGATATGTGAAAAACTTGATGTGAAAAGCAGTTTTTTTATACATCTTATTATAAAGAAATATATCTGGGACAGTACAGCTGAATATTTTTGAAATGTACCTTGAGCATCCTTTTGGTGGCTCCCTGAACATTTGTTCTAGATGGAGAGTTTGAAGTGATGGAAGAGTAGAGATGAATTCACAAAAATCTTCAATTTTCAAAGCATGACATCTTCTCAATGACAAGTCAGTCAGCTGGTCCCAACATGTCAGATCTAGAAAGCAGAAAATCAAATATTATTGGTCACAATCCTCAAATCATTTAAACTGACACATCCATATCAAAATAATTTGACTGAAAATGTGAATGTTCAAAAATCTTTTCTAAGTTCCAATGTTAAATCATATATCAAAAATTTACAATGTCTTTGTACATTGTAATTTCCTAACCTGTACCAAAAAGTTTCTCCTGAAACTTCCATTTTAGATTCTGAATTTCATGCAATGTATATTTATATCCTAAAACCTTCACTCTTCTGACGAGGAGTAAATCAATGGCTGTTAACAGCCCTAATGGCCAGAAGAAGTTTCCTTACCATGCGTGAACCACTGAGTAGGTCTCAGTATGTGAGGACAGTTGTAGATATCTAGGTGTTTGAGCCTGGGGAAGCATACCCCCACTGCCTTCATTCCTATGTCTGTAATGACTGCTGGGGCCTCCGACACATTGGCCAAACCCTCCACAATCAGATCTTCATTGTCCCATTTATCTAACAAACAATTTCAAGAAAATAAAACAATGCACAAAAAATATGTACAAGTAAAGATTTTCTTCCATTTCTTCACATCCATGGCAAATTTTGTGCTGATTTCAGTTACACAATTTAGTGATGTTTCACATTCAATATCTTATACATCTGTCACAGGGTGACAATTACTTGTTTTTATTTTATTTAGTATAATTATTTAGTACAGCTGGTATAGTAAGTTAAGGAAGTAAATAAGATAGCTGTAGTAAATTTCTTTCATTCATTCATTCATACCTGGTTATTCATTGTCATCGTGTTTTGTATTGTATTCTGGTTTGTCCGGTGTTCAGTGTCACGTGAGTGTTTGGTTGTCACGTGATTGTCTTGTGGTCTATTATTATCCTAGGTGTGAGTTGTAAAACCAGTATGTATGGGGTGTGGTAGTTTTGTACGCATGTGTGAGTCCTGGTATATATACTTATGCACGGACTATTCCTTTTTAATCTTGACGATACATTATAGATGTTCTCCTGCGAGAAATCTATGTTATAGCAGTTTAACTAAGAAATTCCTTACGGATTTCTAGTGCAATTTTGTAACTGGTAAGAGTAAATTAATACTTATTCTTATTTTAAACTATTCTAATTAAATAAATATTAGTGTGTGTGAATTTGTACGAGTGTGTCATTTTCATTGCAGGTCACCTTCATTCGTACGTTCGTTTGTACTTCATTACTTCATTTATCATTGTTCCTGCAAATTGTCATCCAATAAATATATGAACCTTTATTGAGGAACTGTGTTGCATTATTATTCCCTGAGATTGGGAGACCCGTGACACATCTTATACATCCATAGTAAATACATCTAACTAAAACATACAATCAGTAGAATGAAAAGTAATGTGCACTGCATTAAGCACTGTCTAATGAACAGAGCAACGAACGTAGTAATTACTGTAATATTTTTCTGGGTATTGGCGGATATCATAAAAGTATGACTTTGTTCAGGTAAATTTTACCATGTAAGCATGGACAGATATAATGTAACATTACCTGGTGCTGGAAAAGAATCAACAAATCCTAGATGTAGTGTAGAAAATGAAGGAAACGATACATCTGCCATCATCAAGGCAACAAATAGATTGTCTTTGGTCAGAGTAGGCTGGACACTTACTTCCTCAATCCTGAAAAGAAAGGTTTTCCTGAATGTTTTCTTATATTCATCAAATTATTCATGTTTTGAAAGATATTTATTTTTTTATACTAATATTAAAGCTGAAATTTAAATACCCAAAGCATACAGGAGAGAGAAACTATTTAACTAATATGAATATTAAATTAAATATACTTCAATGAAATCTTGCACAATATGTCATCACCATTTCCATATTAACTAGAAAACTTTCAATATCATGATGATCATGTATGTTTGGATTTTTATCCTCTTTAAAACTGAAAATTGTCATATTACATACTTTTGAGCTGCAGTTATAATAAGGAAACCAAGATCCATTTCAAGAGCATGCCGACATGCTCCAAATCTGATGCAACGCAACTGACGAAAAGCATTCATCTGCCAGCTATCTTGCACTACATGATGAATTAGGCCCCCTAAAATTGTGAAGAAAATGGTAGCTATATGTCAAAGGTTTTAAGTGAGTTATGTAAATTTTTAAGTGTTTCGAATAATTATTTCAATGAAAGAAATTAAATAACATTATGACTACTCTCATGATCAATCTTTTAAGTTTCACAAGCATGCATAACATTTCTTTCAAATTTAATTAAATACTTCACTTGCATAAATTCAAATGAAATTCAGAAGTCTTAAAACATTTTTCATAAAAAAACAAATGTTTTGTAAAGAAAAAGGGCTAGTTTTAGTATTTACCGAGGAAAGGAACACGTAACAGCTCAAGTCGTGACAGGTATCTGGAGCTTGCAAGGCTTGCAATGAGGGGGACATATTTAATGGCACTTACAGGGCCTGAGCAATGGGCCATAACAAAAGTCTGCAGTTTTGGTGCCATAAACTCACTAAATGGATGGGACTCATGAAAGTGAACCCATCGAAGCTGAAGGTGTCTTAAATTATACATTTTGGGTAGATTTTCAATAACAATGCCATTAAGATGCAAGGACGTAATTTTTGCATTCTCTGCTAAAGTTAATGAAGATGAACAATTGATAGGAAATGTCCCATTCCTGTTTTTAAATGTTCCAAGAATTTCTAACTGTGGAAAAAAGTCCATCATTGCATGGAGAAGCACAACATCTGATATTTCAATTCCTTTCAAATTCCTGCATTCTGACAATGCGTCAATGATTCCTGGCAAAGTGAGCATATCAGCACCACGCTGACGCCTCAAGGTCATAAATCCTGGATGAAATCCATACAGGTACTCGACATCATGACATCGCTTCAAGAAAGCTGTGAGTGTACTGTCGGTCAGGGAGTCGCACATCCAGCCATATATATCCCGCTCTGACATGTCAATCTGTTTCTGAATGCGCAAAAACATGGACACAGCATTTCTGAGTTTGTGGTTCATGCAGTCCATTCTCAGTACATATCTTAGGGGTAAATATCCAAGAATGAGGCAAATAACTTCCAGGGACAGGTTTTGAAAGTAATCTTCATCGCGTACGCGCTGAGCTCGAGTAGTGACACTTTCAATGGTAGAACTAGAAGCTTTCTTCCTCGAACGAGATCTTGCAAGTCTTTTTCCCTTCATCCTATCAGCTCTAAAATAAAGATATCATACAGTACAGAGTATCCAGTTGTTTTTCAGTTAAAAATCTATGTTGGGTATGTCCCTTGAGACCTTGAACCTCCTCAATCACCACAGCTCTGTCATCAATGTTTTTTTTTTTTTGTTCTGACTACAAACCGGAAACAAAATGGTGACATGTAAAACATAGAGTGAAAACGGGAATAGTGTTTTTACTCCGGGTTAGGCACAGGCACCTGACGTTTCTTATTTTTCTTTTAATAAAAAAAATATACCCTTACCTTATAATATTAATAAACCGTTTATTAATATTATAAGGTAAGGGTTAATTTTTTTTATTAAAAGAAAAATAAGTAACGTCAGTTGCCTGTGGGGTTAGGGGTCGGTCTTACTCTAGAAAGCAAACATTCAAGAAAATTAAAGGCAAATGTATATATCTGATCTATATAGCTCATATTTATTGTATTTGCTCTTTCTTAATCTCTTATGCAAGCAATCACGGATAGCTAGGCTAAAGGCAAGGGGGGCTGACCCCCTCCCTTTTTCCAGAAAAAAAACCTTTTTACGCCAGTAAATGTTCATCCCCAACCTTTTGTATCGGTATAGCTAAATTAGGATAATGTGGTATTTTTTAATAAAAAAAATTAGTATTAAAAGAAAAAGGACCCCCCCCCCCCCACACACACACAAACACATGAAATAGGATTTTTGAGTTTGGACAATCCCCCTTTCCACGTTTTTTTTTTCTTTTGGATAAGTAACTTGAACTTTTTTCTCCAGCTGCCCCCCCCCCTTTCAGAGCGATGCTACTTCACTGTAGAGGGTCAAAATTTTAAAAGAAAATTATTAAGTGTAAAGAAGAATTTTATTTTCAAACAATTCTTTTTAAATCACAGTGCCACACTTACCGGGTAGGTGCATTTAATTTTACAGTAAACTCGTTCAGTACGAACACAGATATTGCAAATTCACGGATATAGCGAAGTAATATTGCATCCCCAGGTATATAAATGTAACAGGATCCTTATACGGATATAATGAATTACAGATATAGCGAAGTAATTTCATAGGCCCGGTGACTTTGTTATAACCGAGTTTTACTGTATATGGAAACATTTCAAAGTTGTTTGGATTCATTTTTCTTCAAATAACTGATCCTGGGGGGTCAGAGTAAGGCTTTCACCTAATGCATATTTATGTTATGTCATGAATTCTTTTGGCATAGTTACTTGATTGATCGATTGTATGTCGTTTTATCTCCCTTTCCAGATTTATTCACCCTTTTAATCCATCTGGGATTAATTTAAGCTACTCAGTACTGGTACATACAGTGTAACATTTTTTTTTGCAACAACTGTATGCAGTTTTAGCACATCAAACAAACCAGTGTTCAATGTAGGCCTAAATGCTGTCAATCTAAACTAGTAAATACTGTAGGAAAAGGCCCAGAAAAATATAAATTATAATTATTAAATAATTCACAACAAACTCTGCATGTAAACATTTCATTGTTTAAAATTAAAAACACATGTAGTTTTTTTAGTAGTAACATTATTTGAGAGAAAGTTAAAAACATCCTGGTGCACATGAAGATCAAGTTCTGGTATTAATATCCAACACAGTCCTTCTTTAATTCATTTAAATTTCTCAAACAGGCGATTCAATTCCTGTGACACCTGTTTAACCCTTTGTAAGACAAGTTCCTTATCTGTAGACAAAATGTGATTCCCAAACTTTTGCAAAAATTTGTCAGGGTGCCACCTTTTCACTTGGTCCCTTAAATATTTCTTTCGAGCCTCACTTTGAGTCAAGTCATGGAAGAGGAAGTCTTCTAATTCACTAATACTTTTTTTGAATGGCCATGGAATATCTGAAAAATGAAGTTGCTTTTCCACAATTTTTTCAGATAATTCCTGCCATTTCCTTTCATACACATCCTTTTGATGTCTTTTGTAACTTTGTTGTGCCTTTTTCTGATTTTCTTCATACTTTTTCCTCATTCTTTCCCTTTCCTGTCTGAGCTTTGAGTTGAAGTCCTCTTCCTGACTCTTGGGTTTCTTGCTGGAGCTTGGTAGTGTACCACTATATTTACGCTTTTTATGAAATTCATGATGCATTCTGTCTGACCAATCACTGTAGCTCTCTTGGAAAGTTTCCTCTTCAGATAAATCTGCATAAAAATAAAATGATATTTAACATTCTGCCTGTTGATTATTTAAAGCTACTTTATTATGTGGGGACATACTATAATTCTGCAGAATCACAAATACATGTATTATTTAATCAGTAGGTAGAAAATTACACAGGTTGTTGGCTTGTCTCTGTATGTCTTACTTTCACTTTTAGCATGCTGTGACAAATTTCCATGGAAAACATGTGACCTCTTACACAGAATAAATCAATCCGCAGAAGGAATAGAGTCTCTACAGCATATAACAACACATAAATCTGAAATCTTTTTTTGATTTCATGCTGTAGTTTAAAAATTTTGGGTATTAAGCAATGGAGTTTGGATAAAATAATGAATACAATTCAGTGTTTTATTTTCTAAGTGAAAACATCATTTATTTATTCTGTGGCTGCAGAACTTACCACCTGTAAACCTGCTGCCCCAGCCCTCCTGATACTCATCCTCTAACTCATCAGTAAGTTTCTCCTCCCAGTTCTTCTCAGGACTTTCTCTACACTGCAGGTAAAAACAAGAATTATCAGCAATCTAAAAGTAGATCCGTATTTTGTTCTGTCACAGCAACATAAAATGCAGAAGCATAAAAGGTCTAATTATACCCCCCGCTTGAAAAGCGGGAGGGTATATAGTAATCGTTATGTCCATCCATCCATCCATCTGGTACACTTTTGGGTACCCATCTCTTATCCACAACTCCTCTTATACCACTGAATGAAATTAGATGAGACTTTCAGAGAATCTTTATAACATAATGCCATTGTGACCTCCTATTTTACTTTTTGATCCGACACATACTTTGGGTTTCCCATAATAAAAACCTGGACACGTCTATTATATTCATATGGGAGGCGGGGTGTATCATTTAGTGAGCTCACTGCTCACAGTACCTCTAGTTTTTATAAGATTGAAATTAAATCAGAGGATAATAGAGCTGTTGTTCTCGCCAAAACTGTATGAAACAGGTAGGGATTTTTGTCTATTTTGACCTTGAGTCAATCTGATAGTCATGGTGCTGAAACTACTGGTGTATGATATTTAAGTAAGATAGCTACCTTCAAAATATTAAATATGAAAGCTAATTTATGAAGAATGGTCTGGAACTGAAACCCTTTAATCACTCCAGGGGTGCTGAAAGCATGTAGGATATATACATTGTGACAATTCATGTATCTTAGTCATTAGACATTTGTTCCAGTGTCAGATTAATGATTTTTAATCAAACTTTTATCTGTAGAGTAATACTAATGTGCGATAAACACCCATGTGTTTACATTGTGCACTATAGGTGAGATGTTACAGAGAGGGAAAAACTTTTTTCTGAAAACCAACATTTTATTGACCCAGTGCTCCCCATCACCTACCTGTCCATCTTGTTTCTCTCTGAGCTGATCTAGGAGATCTCTACAGGTAATATCTTCATGGTTCCTCCACTTCAGGGACTCGGGATGTTGCTCAAGTATTGGCAGAATAAGCTGATTGTAAACTAAAAATAAAGTTAAAACAGATAATAATAAAATTCCTGCTAAAATAGATACATCTACATTTCATTCAACTGGGTATCAAATTATATAAATTATTAACTTTAAGCATGACTTGTGAAAGGGATCTGTCCTTGTCTATATAAATCTCTGACTTCTTTATGATTTGAAGAATTTCAGTGTACAGATCTGTGTAAATATATTCTTCTGAATTGTCATCATTACTTGGTAGTGATAAACTCTTCCATGTCAAAAAAAAAAAAGTAAATGTCACCTGCACAGGACAATGTATTAAAGCAAGCACAAATGAATGTAAAATAGTGAAGTACAATGTAAATACTTTTACAGTGTAGAAAATGATAAACATCAGATGTAGCAAGTGCAAAGGGAACATATACCCAAGTGCAGAGAGGGAAAGTTTTGGGAAACTAAATCTGAGTTTAAGATTATAAACATATATACAAAGCTTGTTGCATGAAACTCTCAATACACACTAAAAACAAATAAAATGAAGAAAGAAATCATGCTAAGATTCAAAAGAAACTTACTTTCACTGACTTCAGACCTATGACTTTTCTTTAGGGCTTCCTTCAAAGCAATATGCAGGGCAGTATTCCCATCGTCATCTTTAGTGGACAAACAAATTCCCTTCCCAATAAAATATCTGTGAAAAAATAATAATTTTGTGAAATAAATAATGTATGCATTGAGTAAATTTTTATCTTTTTTTTTTTTACATTTCCTTTTGGTGTCATCGCATAATCTCTTCACAGTATCATTAACAAGGACAAAACTACATGAATTACATTGTATAAATGGACTCAAGGGAATAAACACCTCAGATTTAAAGCCTGATAAAAGTTTAGACATATCAATGACCTTGAGAGCTCATATGTACACAAGTAAACATTTAATTTAACAGCACTCTCTTTACCCCTGTATGAAATATGTGCCAAATCACAACTAAGGCAAGGAAAGAGAAAATAATTGGAAAATTATATCATATGACAATTTTCTAAAAATGAATGCTAAGGATGAATAAATTTGAGCTTTTTATTTATTTAATTAATCAGAACTTTCAATCAAAGAGTAGACTATACTACACATGCTTGGAAAAATGACTTTAATGTGTCTTAAAATTTTTGTAATTCTTTTCCTTTTCAACTTGGAATGTAACATTGAATTTTTTATTAACAATAAGTTCTGACATGATCTAACATGCCTACTTTGGATATACATAATGCAATTTACCTAAATCCAATAAAATCATGGTATTTACAACAGTAATGTAGAATTGTTCTTCCATTGGTAAATTGAAGGTGTTGGATATCAATATCATGCTTCTTGATGTAAGATTTCAACTTGGCTGGTCTACCATCCTTTATTAATTGTTTTATTCTTTTACACCATTTTCTCTCCATTGCAAAATTAATTCCATGGAAACTGTAAAAAAAAAAGTAAAATAGAAATTAATGCATGGAATTGTGAACAAAATTGTATGTATACTTTACAGTATTACCCAAGGATGCTTTGATCACCCAGTGTGTCATAACCCTAGCCAAGTCCTAAGGGGTCATGTTTTGAACAAAGTTAAATCTACACTATGTCAGAATGATTTCACATATGGTAAGTTACATCTTACCTACTCAAGTGATTATGGAGAAGAAGATTTTCAAATGACCCAAACCTACTTTTTCTCATCTCCTTGGAAGAAAGTTTATTTTTGCATGATAATGTCATGTGCAAAAAAAAAACACAAATGTTTAGGAGGCAACCTAATTCAAGTGTCTATGTAGCTGCAGATCTGTAGCTCTCCGAAAAAAATTACTGATAGACCGAGAGCTACAGTGCCACCCATTGAAAAAACTGTATATTTATTGCGCACAAAAAAGTGTGCTCAATTCTTGATTAATTTTTCCAAATTCTTACCTCAATTGCAAAAAATGGAAGATTTCAAAAAATTACTCTCTCCTCTATCAAGTTCTCTCATAGTTGACATCTGAATGAAGCATATTGGATCGAATTATCTTTGAAACCAAAATGGAAGTATAAATAAGCGAAATGTCCGATGATTGCAATATCAGGGCCAGGAGGACTATTAACAACAATTATGAGGAATGTTTTGTTGTGGAAAAAGTCAAAGAATATGTTAGTAATATTTTGAGATTACAGCTTTAAAACCATGGAGAAATAAATCGAGAACCGAGTGCATTTTTTTGTGCGCAATAAATATACAGTTTTTTCAATGGGTGGCTCTGTAGCTCTCTGGTCTATCAATATACATTTTTTCGGAAAGCTACATATCTGCAGCTAGTGTCTATGATCCTTCATTTGTCAGTGAAAGAACTATTCAAACAGTGATAGCATCATATTAGTGATGATCAAGTTGTAAAACAATCATTCCTTTACGAAGTTCTCATGTCTTAGAACTTGGATCCGCAAAAGGAAGTTGTGAAAGGTAGGCAGGGTTGTGACACCAGCTGGTGTCAATAAATTCCCACTTTTCAATATGGCCTCCACGCTGACTTTCCCTAGCAAGTCACAATTTAAAGGGGGTGGGTGAGGGTGTTACTGTTATAGCCAGAAGAATCTCAGATTTATTTACGAGACACATAGATATGCACATTTACATTCATCAGTTACTGTAACATATTCTATGGTTGGAGTGAGTGGAAGAATTGAACATTGACGGGTTAGTCTCTTATAGACCCCCCTCTCTTTCTTTTACTTTTATTAAATTTCCCCAGGATCTTCCCTTTCAGTTGCTTTTAGTTTTACCATGCATCTCATGATTGCAGCCAGTCTATGCGAAAGTCACCGGACCGTCGGTTTTTACCGGTAAAATTTAGGTCGGGTCGGTAAAAAAAATCAGTTTACAGGACCGAATGTCCGGTAAAAAATAAGGCCAAATAAATCTAAATTAAGAGGTAAACATGGTCCAATTCCCCACAAATGTCCTTTAATTGACCAATTTAGCAGTAATACCTGATTAATTTTTATATATTACAACCCTGTCATGATCGTTTTTATTCTAATTCGAATTTCCTCTGTCAAGGGTTAGAGATCTTTAGATAGCTCATACATAGATTTGGTTGGGAAAATATTTAGATAGCTCATACGTAAATTTAGTTGGGAATTTTTTTTCAAATGAGCATCAAACTTGAGTAACCATAATGAGTTGTTTCAAGAAAAATAAATATGCATTGAAAGTGCATATTAAATTTAAGAATTTTTTTTGATACAGTGTATATTGTACAAGTCAAATATGAAGGAAAAAAATACATGCAATTGTATAGATACCTTTAACAAAGGAAAATTATAAATAGTTAACATGTCCATTTCACTCTGAATTCATTTAACAATAAAATAAAATTTCACAGTGAGAATTAACCCCATCCCACCCACCCTCTCAAACTCAGTATCATAATGATGTATGGATTTAAAGGGAAAAAAGTCGGTCTGGTAAAAAATTGTTTGGTCTGGTAAAAATTTTATTTTTACCAGACATTTTGTCCGGTAACAATTTTCAACTTTCGCGTAGACTGGCAGCTCACCTTGAATGTTCTTTTTTTCCCTTGTCTCGCATCTGACATAACTCTAAAATTGAAATACATCATATAAACATATCCAACGGAAAATGCGACCATGCCAAATATGAGAGGGTAAGATCTATATCGACTGTCTTTCACCCATCCCTTTCTTTGGAGGTAACGATTTAACTTCAAATTATTTCTAGTAATAAATCCCAATTTTTGTTCCTTTAATGGATCAAAATCGTTGTTCATCTTAACAGTTCAGTTGTGTATGCTCATACTGAACGCAAGACGCAGGTTTTCAATACTGTTACTAAATTAGTAAATGTGACCTTCTTGTTCAAGAAAAATATCAAACAGGATGTAAAATTATTTCTATAAAGTACAAAATGAGATCGTGTTAATTCCGGGATATCTTTGAGTTTTAAGTCCCTTAGTTTAATATAGCTACTTTAATTATTGTTATTTGAATGTCTTAAAGGCATGAATAGAACAAATTCAAAAGCTGAAAATTATTTTTATAATGCATAAAAATAAACATGCTTCAATTTCCTACGGAAAATTATTTTGCTCAAACTTGATTTTAAATTTAGTGACGAAATGTGGACTTCCGAAAAGATGTTGCGAGCTGAAACACCATGACAGTGATGACTCTAGTGACGCATTCAAAATAAACAAAATTCTAGAGAATGAGGCAACTCAGAGGTAGAACGCTTCGGCTTCTTAAAATAGGATGTTTCTGTTTCATATTTATGATTGTCGTTTGGTACATCGCCATGACTTTAAAGAAAAGAGTTACCCCTATGTATGCTTCTGGTGTTGTTGATACAACAGTTGGTCACATTCGTTATGACTTTTCCACGGGTATGTTCTCGCTGATAGAAAACGGTGAAACTTACGTTCAGGGTCTTTTATCAGAAACATTACGATATACAGCTGCCTTGGAGTGTCGACCAGACAGGAACAATCCGAATTACCTCTGTCTGAGATGGCATAGGTACACAGATCTAGAGGTAATAATATCACTTTAGTAAATAAGCCTTTGTAAATCAATGTATTTTAAAGAAGCATATCAAAATAAGAACTTATATAAAGTCAAATCGGTCCATAGGACAATATCATTTTAAAGATAGAACATTCCATCTAAATGTACAGTCATTTTACCAGTAACGAATATTTGCCAGTATCGAATATTTTTTTATCTAAATATTCTAGAAAAACATAGTGAAGGGTTTTTAAAATCTTACTAGGTTAATACAATAAAAGGATGAATATTCTAACACTGTGTTGTGTTTTTGTAATATCTGCATGATTATTTCCCACAATATTTACAATTTGAACCGATGACCTAAATTTTAACACGCGCAAGTGCAAGTCTAAGAAAACAAAAGTGTGTCGAGAAATGCATCTAAATAAAAAATTTGATATGTTGTCGATCCAGATTGTGTATGTAATCAATATTTAGGATAAATACAAAAAGACAGAATATTAAATTCAACGAAAATTGACTTTTGAATGAAATTTAACATCTTAACTTACCATGTGTTGTTTTCTTAGTTACGAATTACGAATTTTGGAAGAACGAAAAATGCCGTTTTACGGGATGCAAAAACAAAGAAAGCTGACAGGAGTGAAAATACTATCAAAACTATTTATAAACAAAAATATTCCATGAAAATTACAACTCAGAGATGATTGATTTAATTATAATAACGCATGTCATTAAAAGTTTCTCATAAAATGCAACATTTTTCATATTGTTTAGCTTTAGAAAAATAATCATTTGAATCAACAAGTAATGCTTATATACTTTATGTAGAATTTTCTTGAAGGTATATTTCTACAATAATTTCAACCAATCGGTTTCATTTATTAAGTCAGCAACAATAGAGGGCACCTGATTCGATACTGAAAAATCGATTCAAAACTAGGGAAAAAGGGGGGTGTTATTTTTGACAGCTATGTCCCTGTACCGTTTATATTTTGGAAATTTTTGTACTACTTGTTTGTAGAGCTTAGAAATACAAATTAAACAACAACAAAGAAAATTTGGAAATTCAAAGATATGGGTTGTATTTAATATGTAACTAGAAACTGATTCGTTACTGGTAAAATGATTGTAGTTGGATTCACACTTTCTAAAAGTTATGTCTCTTGGTCACCATCTGTGGGAGGAAAAAATAGAATCCTTGCAGTAGCCTTTGTAGTTTACTGGCTTGTAACTTTGTAATTTGATTAGGAAAAAAAAACTTTTTGCATCTTGAACTCTGATTGCCGCCTCAGGATGCTACTGTACCAATGGCAATGCACATTGAAAGAAAAATTTGAACACAGTAGGTTTATCAGAGCACATTCAAATGTTTCGTAGCATAAAGAGGAGAAATGTTGTTTTTTCCCTTATGAGCTTTTGATTGACCCACAAAAGGACACAACTTTTGCAAAGTGTACATTAGACTATTCTGAAATATTTGACATATTTTTGTCCCCCGCTTGAAAAGTGGGGGATATTAATTTGGGTTTGTCCGTCCGTCCGTCTGTCCGTCCGTCCGTCCGTCTGTCCGTCTTTCTGTCTGTCTGTAACGCTTTCGTTTCCACACGATATCTCGAGAACCCTTTGAGCTTTTGCAATGAAATTTAGCATAGCAACTCCCTATGGACTAAAGAAGACCCCTATTGATTTTGAGGTCAAAAGGTCAGAGGTCAAGGTCATAAATAAGCAAATTCTGTCTGTTAAAACACTTTCGTTTCCACACGATATCTCTAGAACCATTTGAGCTATTGCAATGAAATTTTATATAACAACTCCCTGTGGCCTATTGAAGACCCCTATTGATTTTGAGGTCAAAAGGTCAAAGTTCAAGGTCGTAAATTTATACATTCTGTCTGTGTGTAATACTATTATTTCCGGGCGATATTTCAAGAATATTTTGAGCTTATGCAATGTAATTTTATATCAAAAGTCCCTAGGACGTCTCTCGCCCCTCTCAAAGTGTCCCGCCCCATTTGTTTTATTAGTATTTATAGTATTACATGTCGCTATATTTAGCGCAGTGGCATGAGGAGAGTTTTTGCGTATAAAACAGGTTCTCGGCGGACTTTATGTTCTTATTACATCTATTAGAACTGTTTAATAAAGGCTAAATAAATCAAACACCATGGATTGTGTAAAATTTTGAGAATACCGAACATGAATATATACATGTATGTGACTTCACTTCTGCATATACTTCACACTAAGTAAAGCGATTCCGTGGTCTAGTGGTTATGCCTCTCGCTTCATGCGTAAGAGGACCCGGGATCGAATCTCGGTCGAACCTTTCTTTTTTTTTCTTTTTTTTAAATACTTTTTTTTTTACTAAATGATAGTATTCAGCATGTGAAATGAAAAATTTATGAGGCTATAAAATCATCATTACAGTGTGATAAAAATTCCATATAAAAAAATCCTCTATACACATAATGAAGTATAAGCAATCAAATCTTTATATGCATATTGACATACATGTATTTTATTTGCTTCAGTATACATGTATACATTTAATAATTCTACAAATTTAGTCAGGGGGAGCCGACTTTTTCCCTAAGCGGGGGACACGAATTCTCTGAATTAGCTTGTTGCATGTGTTTTCAAGGCATTTTTGTCTATTGATAGGTCAGAAAACTAAAAGGAAGTGATCAATGTCATGAAATAACTTGGAAGCCTTCCAGTCGAGACTTTCTTCCTCAAGACTGCATTTCCTTACGAGGTGCCATATGGTATGGGGGAGGTGAAATGTATGACCAGAAATGGCCATTGAGAGATGTTTCCATTCCTCTACAGCCATACCTTCCCAATGATCTCATGTATAAAACAAAATACAATAAGCCAGCAGGAAACATTTTTGGTAATGTGATAGAGAGATTCTGGCTCAGTACTAAAGGTGTGGGAATTGTGGTTGACAGTTCTGTCCCTTTGTTTGTCAGTATGAACACCAGTAATAGTAATCTACTGTGCTTCACAACTAACTCGGATCATCCTCGGTATCCAGCAGGACAAAGCCATGTACTAAAATACACCATTTGTAAGAAGAAAAATATTAAGGAGGTTTATGAATTGATGCAAAAGAGGCATTTTGAGTCCCCTAAAGATAAGCCAAGTCTAGATTTAATGCAGTTCCCAGTGTTGTCCACTATACCAAGATTTGAGAACAATATGACACAAGGAGTTTTGCTAAAGTTTGTAAAGAAATTTAAAGATGATATACAAAAAGCTTTGTCTATTAAGAAGCTATTTTTTGAATTTGATGGTCTCTTTTCCTCAAAATTTGGTAACTTTGATATTGACTCTGGTTTATTTCCTAATGCACATCAAGTCTGCACCACACTGAGGGAATATGGATACCAAATTCTTGTGTCTATGACTCCTTTGATAAGTAAAGATTCCAAAAATTTTGACACAAAATCTGACTTTTTAGTACAAAATTCAAACACAGAGCAACTAGCACTTGTGAAGTGGTATTATGGTATGGTGGGCATAGTTGATGTTACAAACCCAGAAGCTGCTAGATGGTTTCATTCAAAGTTATCAACAATGATGAAGGAATACGGAATAGACGGATTAAAGTTATATGCTTGTGAAAGTAACTATTTACCTCCAAACCACCTAAGTCATGGATCATTAACAAATCCTGGGTCTTACATTACAAACTTACTTTCACTAGTTAGCAATTTAGGACAAGATAAACAACTTTTACAAGCAACCTGTGCTTATAAGTCTCAGAAACATTCCATGTATGTACAGCTAGGAAGGAAGGAATCCAAGTGGGGAGAAGATAATGGTCTGCAAAGTGTGATTCCTGCAGTTCTGACACTAGGAATTCTGGGATACCCATTTGTGATCCCTGATGTGGTTGGGGGAAGTGGTTCACATGGCAACACAACTTCTCCTCCAAATCGAGAACTTTACATCAGGTGGTTACAGATAGCTACCTTTATGCCCGTTCTTAAATTTTCCTATGTTCCATGGGATTATGATGATAAAGTAGTAGACATTGCTGTTAAACTGTTGAAACGAAGACAAGAAATAATGAGACTGCTTATAAATGCTGCAAAGGAGGCTGAAACAAATGGTAAGATATATTAACATTTTTGTATATAGTTGAACTTCAGTATCTTGTACACTGATATCTCATTTACCATGTATATGTGGACCTAAATTCTTCTTAATATTTTACCCTCAGTATCTTGAATTGTTAGAAATCTTAAAGGATCTATTTGTCCCTTCGAGTTCAAGATAATAATGTTTGACTGTATTTTATATTGGTGCTGCAAATTAAAATGTTCCCAGATTTGTGTAACTGTTGTCATTCAAATTGACACGGTATTCAGCGTTTTCATTGAAGTATTGATCTCTTACCTATTTGAGAATGGGGATAAAATAGACACAATGAGTTATATTATTCAATAACCCATTTGATGTTTTTTATTTGTGAATTTAAACTAGGTTTCCATAAAAAGTAATTTTCATTTTTTTTTCTTTATTTCAGGCTCCCCAATTATTAGACCATTGTGGTGGATAGACCCCCTGGATCCTTACGCTCTGACAGTTAATTCAGAATTTATGTTGGGAAATGACCTACTTGTAGCCCCAGTTGTTCACCCAGGGGTGACAAAGATAGATATTTACCTACCTGAAGGTCACTGGAAGGATAACCTTAAAGGTCAAGTGCACCAAGGTAAACACTGGCTGAGGGACTATGAGGTCACTCTAGAACAGATCCCGACCTTCAGTAAGCACAAATTCCTCGCCAAATGAAGAACGTCTTACTGTTGTCTTTGAAACATGTTACTTACAACTCAGGTATTTGAAAGCTGCGAACAAGTTAACCATAATGGGAAGAGTGAATTGAGTTTTGTGTGAAAGTAAAGAATGTAATTTTATCACTCTGTTAGTTTACATAGCATGAAAGTTGTCAATATTTTGTAAGTTGGCTTTATTTGCATTTTTTAAAATTTAAATTACTTAGATATTTAAAAATACATCAATTTCAGTTGAATAAAGTTTTACTGTAGATCACTAAATTTTTGCAACATCTTATTTTCGTGAGCTAGTCATTTAATCTTTATTAGGGAGACATATGGGAATGAAATTTTCGTGAGCACATTAACTTTATGACACCAAAATAAATTTCTCATGAATAAAAAGTGATTTACAGTATATGATAAATAACTACAAAAAAAAGTGCAGGTCCCCTAACTCCCCAGCTTTTTATGACATCAGAAATAATTAAACAGTTGTACATGTCAGAATAAAAAAATCACTCATGGTTTGGTTAAGAAATGTTATTTAATTTGTCTTAAACAGTGTTCAAATAATTTTAATCTTAAAATTTCCATATATAAAGTTACATTTAAAAGTATGTATGAATATTGAATATAGGGATGAACATTTTAGCTGGGCTCATTGCTCGAAGAGCATCAGTTAGCTTTAATCTCATTGTTCAATCATATATTCTGACCTTTTACACCCAAATTAGAATTATTCTCAGGCAAAATGTAGCACTGGTACCTACTCTTAGCCATTGTTAAATCAACACTATCACTTAAACAAAGTCAAGTAAACTTAGATTTTTTAAAAAATTTATTAATGTAAATATTAATAAATATCAATGTTCCTCAATTGACTTATCATTGTTTAAGATATGCTTAATAGGTCCCCTGTCTGCATCAGAATCAATAAATAAAGGTTTTGTTATTGGAACTAATGTGGGGAGCACCTGATGTAAACCTTCCTGCAAATCTCCCTACTAAGGCCTCATATGTGTGAAATGTTTCATCAGTGTTTTTGAACTTTGAACTACAAATTGTACAAGACCCCATTTAGGGATAATTTGATATACTTTGTTAACTTCTAATTTTGTTAAACTTAAAAAAAAATTTTTAAATTGTTAGAAATTTATGTTATGTACATGCCATAAAAGTGTCCATTTTTGTGTTGTATACCGGTATATATTTTTCATGCAGAATTTTGGACTTTTTGTTATATATATATCTGTCATTTCAATGTATGTTTCATGTGCAACAGTCTTTTTTACTGTAAATGAGCCTAGCTTTCTGTACTTCTGAGCACAATACTATGTATTTGACTATATGAATGAAGAGTTATGCATAAGAGTTATTGCCCTTTACACCACTTTTAAAATTATGATTCTGGGTTGTTTTCATTTTGTCTATATATATGTAAACATAATATCATATGGTTCATCATCATCAAAATGTGCATGTAAATAAATTATATATTTTGTGATTGATGTACAGCCATTTATAGAATATATCGATATAGAATCAAGCAAAAGTAAGAGTGCATGATGGTGCATTGTTCATTGCATAGTAATGGGGAATTTAGACAGGTTATAGACAGATTCTGAGGTAGATTATAGATAATTTCCTGTTAAGCTTTTTCTCACTTTGCCACACTAAAGACGATTGTGCCCACTTTTAAATTTGTCCAAGCAGCTGTTTTCTTTGAATTGCCCTGTTTTAAATCCACTTAAGATAATTTAAGGGCAAAAGGGGCTAGCAGAAAGTAAAAGAGAATATTTTCCCTGTGTATATTACATCAACATGAATTGTAGTTACTGTTTTTCCACCTGCGTTGGTTGGTATAGGTTCAATGAAAATTAATTTTATACCTAGGGATATGGAATATGTGGAACTTCCCAAGTTTAAGTCACTGAGTTTGAAATTGTCTTGAAAAAAATTGGTATTTACATAGATGAAGCTGCCTCAAATACTGCAGAGATGCCCTAGTTATTGCTCTGTTGGGCCATAATGATTGTTGCATGTATAATTTTAGCTTCCATATGCCAATCTATCAATATTCACTCCCTTACATTCAATATTTTGATTTATTGATAGCTGATGTCTGCATAATTTGATTCTGAAATTTATAATTAGCTAATAAGAATGTAATCTTTGTCTTGGAAAGATTTCCCTGATTGATTGCCCTCAATAACACCAGTACCATTATTTTATTGCAATTTTGCAAATTTTTCATTATCTCCGTTAGCTTCATGAAGTCAGAATATGTCATACATCTGTAGCAAATATTTATTTAAGGACAGATGATATAAACAAAAAATGGATGCCTGGATTGGTATATATTTTTGGGTCTATTTTTGTTGCAATTGATAAATTTCTAAAATACGGTTGTATTAAGAAGTTGGAAATCTTGAATGTTCAAAATTGTACCTTTCTACAATCATCCTTATTAATCTATACAATATTTTTCACTGCTAATCCCATTATTGTGAAATTTTGAATGTCAAATTAAAAACTACGCTATGAAACTTGTCTGTTTTCCTCATTAAGACATGACTCAAGTTGTTATTTTCAATTTTTTGTCAAAAGTTTGTATCATCTGTCTTTAAATGAAATATTGTTAAAGACAAATTATGGATCTATAAATTATTGCTTGACATCTTCTCATCTGTTATAATTTTTCTTAATATAACACATATATATTTTTTTCTTGGAGGGGGGGGGTCATCTGTTTCAAAGTCAAAGATCTCACAATTATAAATCCCTCAATGCATGTGAAAAAAGGACATTTGTAGATATTAACTTGATTTCTCATGATTCTTTTCTAATGGAATTTTGTTTACAATATTGTATTAAGAGTAACCTGAAGGTGTTTTTTTGGAATATCATTTTGTTTTTAGATTTTAATATCCTTTCTATATTCATGAGAAATTTATGACAATTATATACAAGATAAGGAAAGCTATTTAAAGGTTAAGTAAGTAATTTATGTGTAATTAAGTCCTTTGTGGATATATTTTTTACAATTATTAAACTTTATTTGGTATTTCTAGTTTATTGTATATGTGTTTTTCATGTGCTTGTGTGCACTTGATTGATTTGAAACACAAATTATTCCCCTCATTCACCATATATTTAAAGTCATTATAAAATTTTTATGTTAATTTTTTTTGTGAACTTATTTTTATTATTATTATTACTATCTTTTTTTATTCTGATGTTGTAAGAATTCTATGTAATCTCAATGATAATGCATTATTTTTTTACTGATTCCATGCAATAGCATATGTCATGTGAAAGGTAAAATGGTAATAAGTACTAGTTTTTTTTTTTAATTAATGAAATTCATGTTATCAGGAAATTTCAGTGATTTGTAATATTTGGAAGATTAAAGTTGACAGAGTATGTGTCAAATCCTGTTTATATCACAATTATTGAAACTGTTCATGTTTATTTATTACATTTATGTCAAAGTCAACTCTCAATGCATATGCATGTCAAGGTCACAACCTATACAACATGTTCTATAAAGACTTCCATCTCCAATTATTAATGGAAATCATATGAAAGAAAAATTCTCAATATTGACAATGTACAGAAAAAATGTTAGTTATTTTGACTTTACAAATTACACAAATGTAACGTAGTCATACTGATGTCGATTCACTGGTTGTAGGCCTAATTGTATGCAATGGGGTAATCATGAATTGTTTGAAGTGTTCACAAAAATTCATGTAATTCTGAATACATGTATTGAAAGTGTCTGTGAAGATTGTGATCATATATTATATTCAGTTTTCAAGTAACTTGTACATATTTGTTTGAAAAACCCAAACTGTATGATTTTATGATTTACTGCTCAATTACTTATGTAAATGTGATTTTATTTGTGTTTGTGTATGTAGCCTTGCATTGTCCATACAATTATTAGTGTGATCATTAAATGATGATTTAAACCTTGTAAGTCAGGTGTCAAAGAGATTAAATATGTGTATGACAAGAAATGATGAATGTTTCAAACCTCTGTTACAGATTTAGCATTTATGTTAAATCACAAACATAATATTTAATCTGGATTTTGAATTCCACATCATCAAAATTAAACAACTATGCTTTCTTTCACTATACTCAAAACATTAAATTTATTTGTTTTTTTATTGCAATTTCACTTTGTTGATTTTTTTTTTAATATGATATCTTATGCTATATAAGCATAATAGGTAATTTTAATGTCCTAATGTAATTCATACATAACGAATCACTCGGAGCTCCTTGAATGGCTCGTACTTAGCAAGCACACTGACCTTATAGACGTCAAAGAATCAGGTTTCCATATAAAAAAAAAATATGATTGCCATGGTTACTGGTGTGCTTAATAACTTTCCAACACGTCGCCTATACTAAAATTATAATTCTAGTTTTATTGGGTTTTAATTTCAACTGTATGTTCAAGAATTTTCCGTGAAATTCTATTAGAATGCCCCCCTCCTATGGGGTTGGCCAGATTTACAAACCAAGTAAGATACGATATTCTCCATAGTTTTCATTTCAATGAATGGTGATGCCATGGTTACTAATAGAAAGAGTCTTGGGGTATTAATCAAATTAACACAAAACTTAAATAAATAAGTTGTTTAACAATATTTTTAATAAATTATTCATGTGATTTATCATTTCTTTTATTGAAAAACAGATGAAAGATGTTTCTTTTTACACTTGCTAAACGATACGAAGCTGAATATTAAGCGTAATTAATCCTTCATCTACCAAATATTTTTACATTTTTTCTCCATAACTGATTTAAAAAAAATAACTGGTGTCATTTTACTCTACATATTAAAAAAAACTTAATTATTTTTTTTTTTACGGAAAACAAATCTATAGGTTGCTGCATGAACAAGATGTGTTTGTGAAACACAGATGCCCCATATGGTAGCTTTAAGGCAAAGGTTAAAGTTTCTCAAATGCAAGTCAAACTCAAAAGGTCAATGTCTAAATTGTTGGTATCCAAATGAAGGTGTTCTTGTCACAAGGAATGCACCTGTGAAATATGACAGTCCTAGTGCTAACTGTTCAAAAGTTATCGCCAAGGTTCAAGTTTTTTAAAGTGGATTTAAGCTCAAGGTCAAAAGGTAAATTTAAAAGAATACCGGTATTTATATCTAATGAAAGGTCTTGTCACATTGAAAACACATGTGAAGTATGAAAGACCTAACACCAACTTTTTCAAAAAATTATGTTCAAAGTTAAAGTTATTTTTTTTTAATATATATTTTATTTATTTATTGATTTTCAAAGCGGGTCAAACTCCAATTAAGGTCAAGACCAAGAGGTCAAATTTGGTGAAACCCAAAGAAAGTTCTTCTCACAAGAAATGCACCTGTGAAATATGACAGCCATAGCTCCACCCACTCAAAAGTTATGGGCAAAGTTAAAATTTTTGCGGACAAACAGACATTCGGACAGGGGACATACTAATACTCCTGAATCTTCGATTACGGGGGCATAAAAAGTGACTAGAGAATGTCTTCCGCAAGGTTAAATCTGAAGTTCTTAATTATGTGGAGTAAAATGACGTCATGGTTATTATTTGATTCATTATTCCTACTTCATTGGACACGTATCACCGACACGAAATTTAACATCTTGGCAGAAATAATTAAAGATTATTCATATGTATATATTAGGGATGTCAACGAATATTCGAGTACTCGACTATCGTTCGATCATACCGACTATACACTGGTTACATGTACATATTGATGTACAGTTTTTATTGTACTAAGTACAT